AGGTAAGTGCTGTCTCAAAGACACAGTAGGTAGAGGTTCTTGAGAGAATCTAGACAATTTTTTGCATGCCTTTGTTAATTTATGCACAACTAGAAGTACTGTTGATGAGTTGTCATTGAGAGATTTCTCAGTGTTCCCCATAAGAAGTACAGAGATACCTAACTATCTTTTCCGAGAATTTGGTGAACCAATGTGTGTGGCATGTTTTCAAGTCAGCATAGATAAAGACACATCATCCTGGAAGGTAAAATCTTTCTAACTCTCTGTCGATGCTGATTGTCTTGACTTATATCTTCAGTAATTTCACTGGGATTACAGGACTATTTTGATACCATTGTGTACTCCATGGCTCTCACTATATTTAAGGCTCTCTCCAGTGATTGCAAACTGTCTTTTCAACTTTACATGATTGAAGTCTCCTACTTCTCTTTAAAGCTTGAGCTACAAACAGGGCCCAGCAAATAAAATCATCTCAATTTCCTGCACTTTAATTCAATGTTGGAGCTCAGGAGGTCGGCATTTTTCAAATTACCATATATCAGAGAGACTGAAGCAAAATATTTGTATTAAATAATTTTTGTCATTAAAAAAACCACAAAATCAAAACCAAAACAAACAAACAAAAAACAAAACCACAAAAAACCCTCAAACAAACAAAAACCGAACAACAGACAAACCCCAAATAACTAAAAAGACAAGTCATCACACAGATGCAGTATCCCACACATGCACAGATGCAAACACAGGCACAAATGTGAACAGGAGGAACAGAAAAGGAAAATGTACTGATGGTATTAATTGTGAGAATGGTTGTAGTCACTATATCCATCTGAAACTATTTCTCTGTGAATTTTTTCATGCCCATCTGTCTGATCAGGATAAATGTCTCAGTAGCAGAAAATAATCAGTTTGATAGTTTAGTTCAATTCTTCCAATCAATAAAATGTACAGTAAGAACAGCGTTGAAATGAACCCTGAGAGATATTCTGCCCTGAAAAGTAATTATTTACAGGCTGTGTAGAAGGGCCAGCCAGGGAAGGATCACACCACTCAGAGCAGCTTCAAATGCTCAGACTTTTACTGTGGAAGGGGTAACGGACCGAGTGATAACCTGGGGATCAGAATTAGGTAGAAAGCTAACAAATGTAAGCATTCTGCTGGATACCTCCAGGAAGTTTTGTCAAGGCTCATGAAGAACAGAGGGAGGTGATTACACAGAAGGAGGTCAATTTACAAAGGTTAGACTTTGCCTTGCCAGCCTAACAGCTTTCTGTGATGACAAGACTAGCCCTGTGGATTAGGAAAAATCAGTAGCTGTCATTTGTCTTGATTTTATCAAGGCCTTCAGCACAAATTTTGCTTTCAGCCACATGAGAGAGAAACTGAATGGATGGATGTACTTACTAGAAGATGAGTGGGACACTGGTTAGACCAGATCCAGAGGGTAGAGGTCAGCAGTTCAAAGTCCAGTTACTGAAGGCAAGTTTCATGTGGTTTTCATACAGAGTTGATATGGGTGCTAATGGGGTTTAACATCTTCATTAATAACCAGAATGATTACGTAGAGTGCACTGTCAGCAAGGTTTGAAATAATACCAGACTGGGAAGAGTAGATGATACACACTGGGCAGTTGCTGTTCAAAGGAATCTCAATAGGTGGGAGAAACAGGCTGAGGGGAACATCATAGAGTTCAATGGACAGGAGTTCCTGCCCCAGGACAGAATAAAACATGGAGCAGTCCTGGCCAGGCACAGCCCAGCTAAGCTGCAGCTTTATAGAGTGGAGAACAAGTTGCACATGAGTCAGCCATGTGCCCCTACAGTGGTTAAGGCAACTGGCAAATTGGGCTGCACTAATAACAGCCTGGGCAGCAGTTTGAGGGACATCTCCTCATCACCTGCCACACTGCACTGGGAGCAGATCCAGATCCAGATCCAGATTCTCCACTGTGTTAAAGTGTGTTGGGTGGAGGATAACCAAGATGGTGGTGCACACAACAGTGGCTGGGTCCGAGCACAGAACATTCAATAAAAAAGAAAGCTTGGTTTGTTTGCCTTGGAAAAGAATAGTCTGTGGAAAGAATCTATTTGCTGTCTTCAACCATCTGAGGGATGCTTAGAGAAGGGTGCAGGATGAATGTGCAGATTCTGCATCTGCTCATAAGAGGAAGGAATAACTGAGTTTTCAAAAGAAATTCCAGGTCCCCCTAAATGTTATTTTTTTGTGATGTTCCCACATGTGCTACTTTCTTATTTCTTTCACTTTACTTCAGGAAAATCTGATACAGATATAAGGCTTTGTTCCTCAAAAGGTTAGAAGAGATTGGTGATGATATGAAAATGCTTTGGAAAATTACTTCTGAAAGATGTTTGTTATTTTAATAGATATTGTTTTTTAAATGAGTGGAAAGATGCTTTTATTCTGAAAATTGCAAACTTTGTTTATAGTTGGTAATTGATCAACACAGTTGGTAAAAATAAAAAGAAGATGGCATCAATACTATAAAAAAAACCCAAGCATTTTCTTCCTATAGCAAAGGAAGTACTCTTTAAGTGTATGGAGTTAAATATTCATGAAAGTAAAAATTATGATTCTAAAAAGGAAATCCTTTGTTTAACATTCAGTGATAATACAATTATGAATAAATCCATATTCCTGAAGCTAAAAATATTATGATCACATGACCTTCAGTTTTTACCTATCACTTCAGTGTGTCCAGTGTTATGGGACACAGTGAGAATAACTGGGTATGGGTGTGTAATGTCTTTTCAGATACTAAGCATTTTACTATTAAATTGGATTTTACCATGACAACTGGTACATGCCATGAAATGTAGACATACCAAACTGTATGCGTTTCAGTTTTTATTCGTGGCTTACACCGTTGGATAGAAATAATGGCAATAATCAGCTGTTGTCCAGTAACATACAATTTCCTCGAACACAGAATTATCTTTCAATAATTGCACCAAAACTAGGGGAAAAAAACCCTGTGATGTTCTCACAGTATTTGAATTGTTGCTTCAATGTCACATTCTTAATTTGGGTGGTTACTTAGGTTTTGAAATCCTGCAGTGAATATTTGACAATAGAAATACCATCAATGTTTTCAGTAGTGCCATGTTCATGCCTACCATGCACAAAAAGACACTGTGGTCTCTATGAGTTTAAAGCACAGACAGTCATTCATCAACAAATATACACTGTAGATAAATAGAACTAGTGAACTACTGTGCCAAGCATTAGTATTTTAACCACCCCATGACAGTGCCTGAAGAGTCTTTGTTGCCCGAGCAGGCACTAGTCAGGCAGAGAAGGGATGCCTCCATCACTTTTGTACTGTACTGAGTACGTGTTGATCCTTCTCCTGAGTCCTTGAGGTATTAACAATCCCATCTCAGTAGTCCTTCCTCAGTTTGACATTTTACTGATAGTCCTTGCCTCTGGCCTACACTTTTTCACAACTCTGTAGTTTTCTCCAGAGCCAGAGCCAAGATTATGCAGCTGTGTCAAATCAGAGCTCAGCCTTGAATCAGT